CCTGAGTCACTGAAGATAAGTGCGTGTGGTGTGTGGGGTATTAATATCATATTATAATATTACATGGGACGTCACACGGTGTCTGCGACACTTTGTCTTCCTCATGGTTGCTCGACGACAAATATGATTTTAACTGATAATTTCAACGTCTCTCTCTCACTTTCGCGCGATTTATTTCCCCCGTTTTTTTTCTCGTTGAAGACTGTCTATGAAATTAAGCCAGTGTAAACCAGTGAGTGAATGAACTTCCCGTCAGTGTCTCTGAAGTGTTTGCCTTCATTCCCCTTATGCTCTTTAATCTCTCTTTTCATGTCTCTTTCTCACCTTCTTCAGTGTCTTTTCGTTCACTTCGTTCCTAATCTCTCTCTCTTTCATTCAGTTACGACCGCAGTCTCTCCCAGCGCCCTCCGCCTCTCTCCCTTGCTATCTCTCGGTCCATAGCTCAGGAGGACAGCAGCCAGACACTGCACAGCACTCCATCCTTCCCCGACAGAGAGAGGTAGCGTGCGTGTGTAAGCCTGTGGGACAGGGTGCCAAGACTGGATTTAGTGTGTGTGTGTGTGTGTGTGTGTGTGTGTGTGTGTGTGTGAAAGTGGAAAAGCCAGAGATAACAAGACTGGTAAACCAGACACTGTCAAAGGGAACAACATAAATAAAAGAACATGTTCCTAACAAATAAATAAACACAACTAGGGCCTATACTAAATGACTGATTTAATTTGTTCGTTTAAAATCATGTCAGGGTGTCTGTGGATCCATTTTAAAAAGTCAAAAAGTATTCTAAATAGCACAGAAGAAGTTTCGAATGTTGTTCATTTGTTTAAGGAAAGACTAAGAATTAAAATGTGTATGTATATAGGCTAGGTAAAATTGCTGTGTATTATGTACTAATACATTGTTGCATAAATAAAATTATAATAGCAAGATTAAATTATTATAACAACATAAAAGAAATATTAAGATTAAAAATGCCATTCATTCAGTGAAAAACTGTAAGTGGCCTAACTGTTTGAACTTGATTTTTTACTGTATTTTAGTTCCTGTATATACAAACAAACAAACAGATTTTTAAAATTCATTTATTATTCCTTCGTGAACTCACTGAATGGAAAATATATGGAAAACAGGCCTAACTATTTGAACTTGCATTTTTACTGTATTTTAGTTCCTGCAGATATTGTTAGATATATCTATGTAAATAAATGCAATTTAAAATGTTATTATATTTATGAAATAATTAATGAGTAAATTAATAGCAATATTACATTATTATTTTTCCACTAACTAGTTTAGTGATGTAAAATGTACCTGTTCATTTAAAAAAAAAAAAGTATTTTAGTGATTACTATTCATTCAGTTGAATGTGTTGATGTGGTTTAGACCTCATTACTTAATGACTAAAATATTATATTTTTATCTTTGTTTTGTTACAAAATTGGTCAGAATCTTTAAAAAATATGCAGTCAATGAAAATGTGTTCTATTAATGAATGTAATATCTATTTAAATGTAAAAATGCAGATACCCTGTATGTATGGCTGATTTCACATGTCTGTGAAAATGGTGTGTAAATTAGTATGTTAGTGTTGTTAGATCAGTGGTAATGACTTGCAATACGAAACAGCCAGTTAGGTTTTTTCTCAATTGTTGTGAATATTTCAATAGGAGAGACGAGGAAAGAGTGAAAGAAAGCATGCCATCCATGAAATCCGACCCACTTCCTGCTGCTCTGTGCATTTCAGAATTAATCTCACACTCGATAATAGAGTGAGACTCTTATTAATTTAATTTGCCGTCTCTTTCTTCATCTCTTTACCCCACACTGCAGGATACCAGTGGTCAATCTTTGAAGAGCTGACTGTTTCCAAGCATGATAATCAAATCCCGCCGGCATGACACAGACTTTGGGGTGGCCGTTGGTGTGAACACGTGGGCAAGCCATCCGAATGTACATAACATGTATATAGACACATATGGATATATGGATAAATACTTCTGTTTGGACACTCTGATGGAGACTGTGAGGTTTAGTGGTCCAGTGGCTCTTCCAGTGCAGTATTATTCTCATTAGCTCAACGCAGCCATTCAGAAGGGCTCTGAGAATGCTAAGTCCTCTACCATAAAAACAATCATTAGCTTCTGATCCTGGAATAAGCTGTGATGTATGTAGTCATTAATTTAGTAACCGGCGTGACATGCTTGCAGTAGCCTATCTCATGCATACAAAGTTACAGCTGCCCACCGCTGCCTTTATCACACTTTGTGTAGCATTTATTTGAGCTTAATGAAGGTTATTTTGAGTTATTTTGAAGTTAAATATAATTCACATCATTTGTTTATAGTGTTTTGTTTCATATGGCTCCGTGTCTCATGGCAACAGTGGACTGCAATGACGTCAGCTAATATAAACAGATATCTGGAAACACCTCTGCAGTGTTAACTTATAATTTACACTAATTATCTGACGAATGTTTTCGTAAATCTGACATCTGTTGAGGTGTTCGTGAAACGTAATTCTATTCCAAATGTATTGTTATGCTTCTTATTAGTGTTATACTTCTAAATCATGGCCATATAGCTCTTCTCGGGGGGGTCTTTTTTGGTTAGCAGAGAGCTAGCACTCACGACAGTGGTCGGTGTGTGTGATGTTTTCATGTTGAGTTTATGGAAAGCACAATTAAGGACATGTGTGAAGACATACTGAAAAATAAGCTTGACGCTTCCATGGCATATTTAGTTTGATGATAAGCAATTAAAAAAACATGCCACACAAGTTTGTTTGATCTATCGCAATGCTAAAAACCCATGGCTAGCGAGGCAGCTTGGGGTTTCTTGTTTATGAACCGCAACTATCAGGAGGGTTTAGGTTTTTAGACGATAGAAACATTTTTAAATCTGCCCTGAAGTAAGTGTTGCTGTCAGTGTTTACTTCTGTATTTTGACTAATTTGATATTCAACACGAAAAATTAAGGAAGGACGTTCTAAAGGACAATTGTGAAAAACTGCCATTCTATTTCAGAATGGAGTCAGACTGAATGCAAATGTGCAAAATCAGTGTGTGGATAGCTAATTGGCTAATCAGGGGTTAACGTTATCCAATACAGTGCAACAGTGTCTGCCCACTTTATCAGCGGGCTTGATTTCGGAAGTCGTTTTGCCATTCTTTTTTTCCCATAGGGATTTAAAATAAAGTCTTTAAGAGTTATAAGCCATGAACCAAATCAACCAACTGAATCACAACATTGCAAACTTTCATTTGAAGCAAAAAAGTTAAAAATTCGGACAAAAACACAAAGGTGCAAGACTGTGTACTTAACAGCTTTGATGAGGGAAAGAACTACACTCCCATGATGTATTGCAAATGACATGGTTGAATTCTTAATGATGTAGAAATATAAAACTATTGATTTAAAGATGTTGATTATATATAGAAACAATATATATTTACATTTATGGCAAAATATGCATATTATACAAATATTTAAGTCATTTAAGAGTGTAGGGAGACTGACTATTATGTTTTTCTATTATGTGCAGTGATTCATGGGAATGTGCAGGTGGTAAATTATTTTTTGGCACTATTTGCTTATCATGATTCTCTGATTATTGGAGGCGTAAAGATAATAGGTAAAAAAAATTCCGCTGAACATGATTTAAAAAAAAAGTCTTAATAATGCAGGCTGAGCGCTTCAAAAGAAACACATACCATGGATTAACAACCTTGTAGCTCACAGTAGGTCTGTCTTTGATAGTCTATAAATTATCATTAAAAATGAATTATCCAATGGAGAAACAGGATGGGATTTTTACTTCCACTCTATAGACTGTGGTCTGTCTTTGTAAATGGAAATCTGAGGAAAAGCAAGTTTGTACATTTTATTTACATTTAATTCAAAGACAAACTTTTTTCTTTGAAATAATGATGAATTGTTCACAATACGACCAAGAACATATATTAAGAGGAATTTTATTCATTCACTTTAAACCAGAAGAAATTCTGCTATAAGCTGTATTTTCCAAGGAAATCATAATCAGCCCCTCTCAAATAACCATGTAACTCATGAAGTTAAAAAAAAAAAAAAAATTACAACAGAGAGGGGAAAAACAAACTAATGTGCCATTATAGTTTATGGGCACAGCAGATTGAATTCTCTCTTAATTTTTCACATCATGCACAAGAAGCTACACCATGTGAGATATGTTTAGAGGTTTCACATCATTTATGTAGCACTGCCTTAAAAATGTGATTCAGTGTTTTATGAAGTCAATAAAAAGCCGTCTCTGGTGTTTTAAAACGTGTTTTTTGTGTGTGTGTGGTGTTTGAAAGGACTGCCTATATGACAGTGAGTCATACAATCACGCACGCCAAACAGCCAGGCCAAAGGGACACCACGAACACTCATTAGCCATTGCACAGCAACAAAACACCAGGACACAAAGACACTTCACACGCACACACACTGTATGTAAGCAGCAAAAGTTCACAGCTCCCATCTGCTCAGAGCTGAGAGACCGAGAAACAGTGAACCTCAGTCACACCGACTGAAATTAACACCACTATTTATAGAGAGAAACAGAAGAGGGTGTGTGCGTAAAAAGGATCAGGGATTTTGAGATGGATGGATTTCTACAGACAGAGGTTAATGTAAAAGTATATCATTGCTCTCTGCTTTTTATTGTTCTCCTTCATTTTTGAGTGGCTACCACAAGTTAATCGCTACCATTAGAGACCATTATGCAGGACAGGGAGAAACATTGCTTTAGTCAAGCTTAATGGCTGGATAAAGGGCATTTTGCATAACACAGTGGAGGGAAGAGCGCATGTTGCTGAGAGGGAGACAGAAAGAGAAGAAACCAGGATGTTATTTCAGGGCTCCGACATTAAAGAGTAGCTAATTAATGTCATGACCTCTTAGCAGACATGCCCCCATTGAGACGAAACATTTAGCAGCACTTAACATTAGAGGAAAGGAAACATGAAAGCCAGAGACTACACAGGGTGACAGATGGATATCATTTATTCACTGGCTTCATCAATTTACATCCAGATTTAATAACAAACAAAACACACACGCAAAGGAAAAGGAGTATGAGTCAAATTAAATGACATTTACAGCACACATGTACATAAACACGCTCCCAGCATTGTGTAAAAGTTGTATTTGTGTTAGATTATGTATTTGTGTTAGATTGTGTCTGAGAAGTGGCAAGTTTTGTTTTTCTGTCTATCCAAGCAAGCAGTCCACAATATGTCTGTCTGTGAGTGGGTTACTGAAGATTGAGTTCAGCGCTTAAGATCAATTAGACTTTGACCAAATCTTTCCGCTCCCACGAAGCCTGAAAAATACAGAAAGAATTGTTCAGGTGAAATTTTGATATTATAATGATACTTTGTGATTTTCCTTGTGGCTATAAATGGTGCATATTTAATGCTGATGGATTAGTTCACCCAAAAATTTAAATTTGTAGAGAATTTACTTACCCTCAAGACATCCAAGATGTAGATGAGTTTGTTTTTTCACTGGAACAGATTTGGAGAAATTTAGCATTACATCACTTGCTCACAAAACAGCTGATAAAAGCATCACAATAATCCACAAGTAATCCACGATTATGATTATGTATTGTGATGTAAAAATCTGTGTTTGTAAAAAACAAATCGATCATTAAGATGTTTTTAACTTCAAGTCCTCTATCCATAATATTGGCTTCTCCAGTGAAAAAGTCATCTTGTCTGAATCAGGAGAGAAATATGCACAGATCAAGCACCCTTTACAAACGAAAACAGTCCAAAACAGTTCTACAAAAAGTCTATGGATTTTGATGTGAGAGGACAACAGGGAATGGACTTTTTCACTGGAGGAAGTGTTATTATGGAGTATGAATTGGTATTTTGGCCAGAAATTACAGTTTAAATTTAAAACGTCTTATTGATAGATCTATTTCCTACAAACATGCAGCTTTTTACTTCACAAGATGTCAACTGATGAACTGGAGTCATATTGATCACTTTACTGTGATGCTTTTATCAGCTTTTTGATTCTTTTTGCCTCTGATTCTGATGGCATCCATTCACTGTAGAGGATCCATTGGCAAGTAAGTGATGTAATGCTAAATTTCTCCAAATCCGTTCCAGTGAAAAAACAAACTCCACTACATATTGGATGGCCTGTGGGTGAGTACATATTCATTTTTGAGTGAGCTATTCCTTTAATTATCTGGCCCTATTTACACTCATTTTGAATGCCTAAAAAAGGTGCAACTCTAAATTAATTTCATTATGTCACAAAAGTGAATGATCTTAACGTGTATCTTAGCCAGGACATGCCTTTAATGTATTCTCCTAATCATATTTTAATAATCTGATAATTATTATTGGAAAATTAGCGGCAGTTTCCCACATGGACAAGGAGTAGTCCTGAAATGTTAATGACGAGTCTCCACTGAGACGCCTTTAAAGCCTTGGACTCAGATCAGCCTTGAATAAATTATACCTCTTCTTAACTGACATTCTTCAGTGACAAAGAAAAAGCAGTGGTGATCAAAAGCCCCTCTCTTTCCAGTGCACATCCTGACATGAGATTTCCAAACCAGGACAGAGACAATTTTAAACTCGTTGGGACTTAATTAGGACTATAAGCCTGTGGGTGATTTCTTATACATCACACTTAACTAAAGGCAGGAAGCAGTACATAAGCTCACCGAAACAGCGCACACAAATACTCATAAATCACATTCTATGTGCTTAAAAATGCCATTAGTAAATATTAACTCCCTAAGATGTATGACTTATGTGTAGTGAGGCTGGTAGTTTTAATAGCAAAAAAACAGTGCAGGGCTTTTTTTAATATAAACCACTGTGATACTTTCTAGTGTTATGGTACATTACAGAATACATTATAGACACTAACTGGAGGTGATTCTGAGGCAGTAAACCCTAAAATGCAGTTCACTTACCCTTTGACCTTTGAACTCTTTTTTCCTGGTTGCCGTGGTTCCTGAGAGGAGGCAGGGTCTCTTGGCTCAGCTGGCTGGTCTGCATCCTGATTGGACGCTGCTCCAGCAGGGGCGGGGCCAGATGATGGGGAAGCAGAACTTGCCTTAAGGGTTTTTTGTAGGTTTGATACCTAAATAAAAAGGTGAGAAAAAAACTTGTCATTAAATCCTGGAGTTGTCAAAGTGAAATATAAAATATGAACTCTTTAAACATACAGTGAAAAGAGGCCATGTTCAAGATGTTATATTACTACACAGTACAGGGGCGCTGCTAGCAATTTTGGACCCTATGAAAGAATATGAGAATATGGGCCCCCTACCGCACCAAACATACACTATATTGCCCAAAGTATTGGGACCCTCCCTTCTAATGAACAGGTTTGACTACTTTAGTAATTTCCACGAGTACAAATATTAATATTGAAGCATATAATGATATTCTAGGGAATTGTGTGCTTCTAATTTTATACCAATAGTTTCAACAGGACCCTTTTCTATTCTAACACATGCAGACCAGTCAAGTTCTTCCACACTGACTGAATCAATCTATTTATTTTTTAACCTTGCCTTATACACAGAGGCATTCTTGTGTTAGAATAGAAAAGGGTCCTGTTCAAACTATTGGTATACAATTAGAAGCACACGATTCCCTAGAATATCATTATATGCTTAAATATTAAGATTTGTATTCATGGAAATTACTAAAGTAGTCAAACCTGCTCATTAGAGGGGGTCCCAATACTTTTGGCAATATAGTGTACAAGCCAACCTAGCTATTCAAAATCTTTGTCTGCAATTTAATAATATTGAACTATTACTTTAGCTATTGCTTTTGACCATTAGGTATCAGTAACATAATTCGAACCTTTTCTATGGACATAGACTTTCTGTACCACACTATTCTGCTGATAAGGAATGAATTTGACTACTTAATCAGTTATATTAATAGAAATGCTTCACTGGGACAAACACAAAAATCAAAAACCTAAAATAATAAATAACACCAGCATTTCCAGCAGTTTCTCAATCATGATTTTACTCAGCTAAATGTGACTATTAGCTTAACAGCTGTATTCCTTCTTTGCTAGCTACCTATGCACATACAGCATGTAATGTAAAAAAAATCTAACGTTACATTATGAACCTTAACCCCAAAACCTTTAGCATTATACACTGTAGATAATTGTGACCCTGTCTGTCGAAAGCCAGCTAAATTATTTTTTTTAAACAGTGGATGAGTAATTCACTCCTTGATTTGCTTAATAAAAGCCTCCTTTGAGATCGTTTTGACCGACATGTTTATTGTGTATTATTTTCAACGTGTTTATTGCTAAGTTTAGTGTATCAAAATAGAAGCACAGTCGTAATTCGCATGCAGTGTATCTGGTTGCCATGACAACCTCACGAGCTTCTTGCTGCTGCTCTATGCAATCCAATCAGAGTGTGAATTTGTAGATTTTCTATAGCAAACCTAAAATGTGTTTAAAAAAGTGCGACTGACCAAATCATCCGGCTCGGTTTGCCCCCCCTCGACCTCGAAGACATATCTAATTTGACAGTTAACCATCTGATCTCACTTAGTGACTCTAGGTTAAGTAGGACGGGACGAAACCATGCACTGAATGGGGGGGGGGGGGGGGAGATAATTTTGCCGGAAATGCAGAAATAAGCCGTAATTTTGTTTTATTTGTAATTCTTTGGTAGATACATTTATAATTTCTATTACATTACTACTACTACTGTTACTACTAATAAAACAGATCTCTGGGGGCCCCAAAAGTGCGTGGGCCCTTAGAATAATCCTAACTTCCCCCCCCTTAGCGGCACCCCTGACACAGTATACTGTCTACTGGCATTCAGTTGCTTAACGCGTGAGTTTTTGTGCAAAAACTTTTTTTATTAACCTTAAGGAACATTAAAATAATATAAAAAAATATCCATATCATAACTTTTCATTTTTGGCAGTCCAATCAAAAACGGAGCACATTCTATATATTCTGAATATAGCCTTTATATACTTAAATAGAAATGTTTAATTTTACTCATCAAACAGGTAAACACCTAAAACGGCCTTTATATGTGGGTCATTGAAGTGATGCTTATTTACGCTTCTTCAATGATTAACATGCTTTAGATTCCTGAATTGACATTCATTTGGATATTCTTGGGGGCTTAAAGTAAAAAAAAAGAAAAAAAAGGCAGGGTGATGTAACTGTCTTGAAATCATAATGAAGAAAGAAATTGTTTGGCATAATTTTCATTATTTATATAGAATGTACAGTATGTATGTGTATAAATGTATTATTTGTTAAATATAAATGTAGCGTTTATATTAAATAATATATTTGTAATGTTATCTTTTATATTTATTAATATTTTTTAATGAAATTCATAAATAAAAACATTTTAAAACCTTGAAAATAATGATTACATGTGTACACTCACATGTATACAAAATGTAAAGAAAATATCAAAGTATGTTTACTTTTTATTTGCTTTTTACTTTTATATTTTGAAACATTTTGTCATTTGAAACTTCAAATGATATTAAAAAAAATATGCCAAAATCACATGAAACCAAAATCTTTATCATTGAAATTATCTAATATTGTATGTCACTTATGATGGATAAAGATTCACACACAAACCTCTGTTTCCACTTGAACTTTGACCTTGAGCTGGGTTTCTCTGTACTGATTGGCTCTTGACACCTGCTCCTCAATGCCACACAGAACTGCTTCACAGCCTGTACACCTGAGAGACACAAACAGACAGAATATTTAATACCACCAGCAAGGCGTTTCCCTTTTTACATCAGCAACAGAGTACATTGCAGCATCCTGACACAAACACAAATACACGCTTACCACTCCTGCAGTGTGTTGGCAATGTTGGGTAATTCATTGGGGCCCAGGTCTCGACCTATGCTGCAATCTACCTCGACCTGCTGGTTCCTCTGGTCCAGTTTCCCATGGATAATGTCACTGTAAACAGCCTCGATCAGCAGGTCTTCCAGCTCGCGCACATTCTTCAGCTCTAACTGCTGGAGCAGTAGTGAATACGGCAGACACTATCCAGAGAGAGAGGTGTTTTTTTAAACTTTGTTTCTTATGAATACTATGCTCTGGGCTAAGTTGAAACTTCTAATTTACATTTTGAAAATAATGTCCTAGTAATATTACAAAGGCTTGATAAGAGAATATTGGTTTCGTCAATCATGCAGTCAATAACACTAATAGCCCATATTGTTAACAGCTGTGCTGATCATAACAGAACTCATTAAAAACAGTGCTAATAAACCTTCAGTTGAGAACGGATGAATCACTACCTTTAGATTGGAGGCCAGGCTGATGATTGACAGGTGACGGAGTTTGTTCTTCTGGGCGGGTGTGAGTTCAGGAAGTGAGGCTGCCCTCTCTAAATGTGTAGGTGACCAAATACTTATTTTACCGAGGAATTTACCAATTAATTCTTTAAAAATCCTACAATGTGATTTTCTGGATTTTTTTTATCATTTTGTCTCTCATAGTTGAGGTATACCTATGATGAAAATTACAGGCCTCTCTCATCTTTTTAAGTGGGAGAACTTGCACAATTGGTGGCTGACTAAATACTTTTTTGCCCCACTGTACATTAAATTAACATACATTATAACCATCCGCACAGCCGGGAGGAAAACAACTGATTACATCAAAGCCCTGGTAAAATCTGCAATAGAACATGGGCCAGAGACTCCTGCTTCTCCCTCACAGGAGTTAACTTATTTAGCAAGGCAAAGGGCAGCATATACAGTCTCATTCTGAGTCAGAGCAGGGAATGAACCTGCCGCCTCAGGGGGCCAATATCTGGTCAGATCATTTGTTGTCATGGTTACCTTTATAGTCGCAGTAAGTTCCATACGCAAAAAGATTGAGAAGCTGGTACACTGGAGCGTGGGGACCCGTCTCCAGCTAGAGAGAGGGAAAGTGAAGTGCAGTCAAAGATTGATGTGACAAAGTGTTGAAGTATTTTGTGTTTAGCAGGTAAACACTTTAGCTGGGCTCTGTAGGAATGACGGTGTGGTACATGAGTACTCTGGGATCTCTGTGCAATATTTGGCGGAGAAGCGTGCATGTAATGCAGTGATGACATCTGTTGACTTTCCAATTGGTTTTATTACAGCACTCCTAGCAAATGTCAATATAATAATATATAATATAATAAATATGTGTTATGTTAACGTAAGATTGAGTCAGTATGTTTTTTTTTAAGAAAGAAATGATTACTTTTATTCAGAAGGGACACTTTAAATGATCAAAAGGACAGTAAAGACATATATAAAGTAACGATAAATTCTATTTCAAATAAATTATGCTCTTTTGAACTTTCTAGTCAAAGAATCATGAAAAAAATGATCAGGTTTTCCACAATGAAGCAGGACAACTGCTCAATCAGCATATTAGAATGATTTCTGAAGGATCATGTGACACTGAAGACTGAAGTAAAGTATAATTATATATTGTAAGTAAGTGTAATATATATAAAACTAATGTATATTGTAATATAAATGTCTATGTAAATGCATACTGACATCAAATATGTGGGATGCTCTGAATGGGAAACAAAAACTTGGAATTGCAACCTGACTGTTCAGATTGAATATGAAAGATTTCAAATCATAAAAAATGATATTGATCAGACTTAAATTAATCAGATGCCCTGTGTGCGGGTATGATTTTTTTGTATATGCCATTCAAATTAGATTAGTGTAGCATACTTGTTTCAAGAGTGTTCAAGAGCATATTACACTAATCTGATTTGAATAGGATATTCAAAAAATTGGATTTGGTTTCAGACACCATGGCGAAGCACATCAAAAAAAGAAAACAAAATAGCTCAGCACTTGAACAGATGATTAATAGCCTTGACATTGAATATGACACACAAGCGCTGATATTTAAAACAATTACATTTGACACAGAATTCATGAAAAGTCACCAAGTCGAACTGAAATAGATTTTTTAGCACAAAAACTCACCTCACGGACGTTGGGCAGTTCTAGTATGTCTGAGAAAACGTAGAGGCCTGGGGTTTCCAGCAGAGAGCTGATGGCCTGAGCCAGAGCTGGACCTGAGAGAGACAGCAGCTGATCCACCTCCATCTGAAGGAAGAGAAAGAGTTTAAACAACCCAGATCCCAGCTTCGGAAAGCATGAGGTGGATATTCTAAGCAAAAGAACAAGTTTCATAAATAGAAAGTACTATGTTCAGACCTATTAAATGCAGGAGTTGTTCTTATTAAATCTGTACTTGAAAGCCTCAGTAACTCATGTACAATACACATGCTTCATTGGGCTGTTAAATTGCTGTTGATCCAGCTTTCAACGACACTTTGATGCAAGAATTTAATATGACAGGTGGCTCATGGTAAAAATAACTACATTATCTGGGCGAAGTTATGCATGATGCACTTTCATGATGATTAAAACAAGGCTGCCAAATGCACAAGAAGATTACATCTCCGAGGCAGCCAAGAAGAGATGTATTTAAATGCACTTGAGATTGACACAATGAGATTATTTAGGAGACTACAAATGACAACTAACACGCATGCAAGTAGAGTTACAACACTTCTCAAAACAATGTTTTATTATAGTGAACTAAAGTGTTAATTGTGTTCCTCGACAGTTACTAGATTTTAGCACATGAATCCATATTCTAACCGTACATATACTTTGTTAAATTGAGTCTAAAAGCATTCTGTGTTGTTTAATACTAATAAACATCAGTTTAAGAGAATAAACCAGTCAGTCTGTTCAGCACCCGGTATGAAGTACATCAACACACCAGCAGCTAGGCCTTGCCTCTAGTAAACTGAGGTCTTACGTAATCACGCATCGTTGCATACTTTGCCAAGTACGCTCAAATGTTTAATAATAACGTGCGACCACAAGTCGCCTGGTGAAATGTGCAGAAAAAGCGGTATATTTACCTTATTTATAAAGACTGAGGTTGTTTGTGTCAACTGTGGTGCCACTACTTCCGTTAGCAAGTGTGATACAACATGAAAACGTGCTCTCTGATTGGCGGAGAGGTAGAAGGGTGGGCGTGTTCACAGAGCGATTGCAAGAGAGAGCAGATAAACATTGCCACCGTATGGTTATGAGAAGTATAGCGTCTTGGGAAGTCTTCACAATGAATCAAAGCCAGCGATGATGATGATGATGATAATAATAAGAAGTTTGGAAAGAAATAATGACATTTATATTACATGTGTTTACAAAACCAATATGAATTTAGATAAAGTACTTAGATGAAAACATTTATGTAATTAACCTTATTAACTTATATCACTATCACCTGTGTCCAAAAGTTTGATGTATCTGTAGAGGAGTTGTGTAAAGACACAGAATAGCTTAAAATGTTGTGGAACAAATATCCTAACTGTTGTGTAATGTCATTATCTTGTGTTGAATTACGTTTTATATTGAATTCTCCTTGTACCCATCTTAAACCAACATAAATGGGTTGTTAGTCTTAGCTGGTTTAAGCCGGTTTCCAAGCCTGACCAGCTTAAAAGTGCCCGAAACCTTCCTAAAACCAGCCAACATAACTTTGATTGCATAAAATCTTTGTATTTTTTTTGGTGCCTGAGGCAAAGGGGGTGATGATGAGAGGAAAAAACATTATGCAATGTTTTAAGTGTCCCAAATCTCAAGTCAAATCAAAGACACACAAACTAAATAGAATCTGAGAATTTCCGTTTCACTGTTTATTAAAAAGAACGAAGGCAATAGAAAAATAGAGATACAGTTTTATATATATTCTTCAAATCAAATGTTAATGGTGATAGGATCCATCTCGCAGATACGTTTGTAATTCACTTCGCTGGTTTGAATCCTATCTCACTGGTAGGTCTTTCAGGGTGGCTTGGGGAGGGGAGGTATCCAAAGCACACCAACTTGTCACTGGGGTTCCTCAGGGATTAGTTCTTGGACCCCTCCTCTTCTCCATATACACAACATCACTGGATCCCATCATACAGGCACATGGCTTCTCCTACCATTGCTATCATTTCAACCAGATGATCCAACGGTAGCTGCACGGATCTCAGGCTGCCTGCTGGACATCTCGGCATGGATGAAAGAATATCACCTACAGCTCAACCTGGCAAAGACTGAGTTTCTTGTCTTCCCTGCCACTCCAACTCTACAGTATGATTTTCCCATCCAGCTAGGTTCTTCTACAATTACCCCATCAACTTTGGTCAGAAATCTTGGTGTAACTTTTGATAACCAGCTGACCTTCAAAGACCACATTGCAAAGACCGCTCAATCATGCAGGTTTGCATTGCACAACATCAGAAAGATCAGGCCCTTTCTAACGAGCATGCTGCACAACTTCTTGTCCAGGCCCTTGTCATCTCTAGGCTGGACTACTGCAATGCTCTTCTGGCTGGACTTCCATCAAGCACAATCAAACCTCTACAAATGATTCAGAATGCAGCGGTACGACTGGTCTTCAACGAGCCCAAAAGAGCCCATGTTACACCTCTCTTTATCTCCTTGCACTGGCTACCGGTTGCAGCTCGAATCAAGTTCAAGACATTGATGCTTGCATATAGAACAGCCACAGGCTCAGCACCCGTCTACTTCCACTCGCTACTACGAATCTACATCCCATCCAGAAGTCTGAGATCCGCTAGTGAGCAACGCCTCGTGGTACGATCACAGAGGGGCTCAAAATCACTTTCCAGAACATTCTCGTTCACCACTCCTGGCTGGTGGAACAATCTTCCACCCCTATCCGGAATGCTGAATCCCTGACAATTTTCAAGCGACAGCTGAAAACTCATCTCTTTCGAAGCTACTTGACTTCATCATTAAAAAAAAATATATAATTCTCTCTCTTTATTTATTCCTTCTCTTTCTAGCTTGTACTTATTTGAACATTGTCCAAGAACTTGGTATTACAACCACTTCCTGTGTCTGTTTGCCTCTTTAAGAAGAATCGCTTTATGTATACCCCAATCGTAAGTCGCTTTGGATAAAAGTGTCTGCTAAATGACTAAATGTAAATGTAATTGAAATCACATGGCACGTCAAACCACGTTATCGAGTGTGAGTCCAGCACTGAGCAGTTTTCTCCATGAATCCCACCTGACTGGTGGTTAATGGGCTCTTTATCCCATTCACTCCAGAACCTACGGAGAGCAGCGGAACAATTTAGGAAAACATAATATTAATATCACCTCAGAGAAACCAATTTGTATTTAAATAACCTCCACTGCCTTGACTGTCACTGAGATTTTTTTTAAAGGGGTCATATGATGCTTTTTTAAAGATCATTATTTTGTGTATTTGGTGTAACAGAATATGTTGACATGCTTTAATGTTCAAAAAACACATTCTTTTTCAAATACTGTACATTATTGTAGGTCCTTTATGCCCCGCCTCTCTCAAACGCTACGTTTTCTACAAAGTCCCACCTTCCGACAAGCGCAGTCTGCTCTGATTGGCCAGCTGACCCAGTGCATTGTGATTGGCCGAACACTGCAAGCACTCGTCGGAAATGTAACGCCCCTTACCATAATCGCGAGCTTCAGCTTTCAACATAAATGTAAAGACAGAGCCCGAAGGGGGGACAGAGTCGCGTGACAGACACAGTGATGAAGCTGGTATGTGTTTGCAGTACACAAGCCACGGTTAAGACAGCTGACTCCACTGTGATGTGACCCTGTCTCTCTCTCTCTCTCGCTCGCTTGACACTCCAAAGAGAAAGGAAAACTTGAAATCGCAACATATGACCCCTTTAAGACAAATTCCTGCTTTGGTTTTACTTGTCTATATCCAGGGTTTTCAGATGTTTTAAGGACCAAGGACCCCCAAATATGAAGGGACACCCTAACATATAAATGTAGCTATATTTTTTTCATGTACAGACCTATATATTCTGTGTGAGAAAAAAAGTATACATAATACTTAAACAATTGGCTTTTTTTCAAAAACAAATGATTGAAATATTATATGGAAATATCTTTACACCAATATTAAAATAAATAATAAAATAAATAAATAAAAATAATAATAAAAAAGCAGTGATGTTCAGTTTAATTAAAATTTGTAAGTTGGCAAGTTAAAGGCAACAACGGTGAAGAAAATCTCTGTAGAAAGGTACAAGACAAATAAAAAAAGAAAATTATTAATATATTAAATATGTACATGTTATTATTTTTGTTCAGATTATCTGTGTGTGTGTGTGTGTGTATGCGTACATTGTATTAACCACTGTATTGTCCACCCATTTCCACACGCCCTCAGTCTCAATGTCTGATAAACCAATCCAGTAATGATAGTCAAGTCCACCACGATTGTGTGTGACACTTTCAAGTGTGTGCTGTAATAAAAATGAAAATATCAGTACAGCCATATTGAATGAACATAAATGCTGCATATAATAATTATTGAAACAAAGTTTTAAGTAAGTTTTCATCTTGTATACGTAAGAAGTCCATTCACAAACACGGCCACAGACTTAAGTGTTGTTGATGGCTGTGCAGTATTGACAGATGGCCGCCCATAGACGCGCAGCTGTCTTTGCTGTGCTGCCAGTCAAGTTTATCCTCACTAAAGAAATAACACCTTCCTTCTAAATGCAGCCAGTCTTCTGGGCATGGCCTACATTTGATCACTGCGGAAGAGAGATGTTAAAGAATAAATGGGTGAAAGAAAGGGAGAGGGAAAATAACAAGATACGTTTGACCCTTGGGCATTAAATGTCATTCAAAGGCAGAGGTGTAAAGTATTGGATTAAATGTAATTAGTTACTGTACTTGAGTATCTGTTTGGATACTTTGTAGTTGTACTGAGTATCAAAGATATTAGCAACTTTTACTCTCTACTTCACTACATGTTTGAATGAGTATCTGTACTCTTTACTCCACTACATTTGAAATGAGTGTTGCAGTTACACATTACATTTTGCATGGACCTAGCTGGCAGTTTATTTCTGCTACAAAAGACCTGATACTGCCTATTACAGGTCACTGAAAGTACTGCATCTTGTGCGTTTTGCCCTTACTCACCCAAACATTTCAACATGGCTACTTTATGTGAATGCGAGTTCCTTAGCAAGTATTTGTGAATCACAGGTGTTTTATATATGAGATGAGGACATGACTGCAGCCGGCAATGAGGCCCAAACCAGCACATCCACTGCAGGAAGGCTTCAGCATTTTAATTTTACTTAACATGTTTTATTTATCCATTACACTGAAGAGACCTTTTTGAAGGATATTGTTTTTTTGTTTGTTTGTTTTTTTGTTATGTAATTTTGAGGTGTTCAGTTTTATTTTGGTTTTAGAAAATAAACGTGATTGCTCTGCTCACAAATCAACTCTTTCTTGTTTGTGTTTCATGCTCTCTATGCCTTGCCCTGGAATTTTATGTCACTTCCTGTCTCCTGTGGTGTTTGTAGTCAGTTTGTTCATTGGTTCCCCTTGATTAGTCTACCCAGGTGTGTCTTATTTTGTTAAGCTTGTTAGCCCCCTGTGTGTATATATAGCCCTAGTTGTTCTTTAGCTCCTTGTGAGTTGTTGAATGTAATGGTTGTCTGTTTGCCAGTCATTCTGTTCTTCGTTCCCTTTGGTTTTTGGTTTATTGTTTGTTCTAGTTTTTCCATGAAATACCAGCACATATATCCTTGCCTCTGCCTGTTTTCCGCAGCTTCTCCACAACGTTACAGTTTTTCACTGGCATGTCTCTTTGACTAGTGCATCTTTGAGCCTATATTTAGTATAAGTAAAATACTTAAGTACTGTTAAAGTCAGATACTCTAAGACTTTTACTCAAGTTGTTTTGGAATTGGTGACTTGTAACGTGTAGTGGAGTAATTTTCACTGTAATATACTTTTACTCAAGTATGGTTTTTAGGTACTCTTTACTCCTCTGTTCAAAGGCTATATATACACACAAATATTTTTGTTTCCTCACCCAGTTTTGAACAAGTCTGTCCAAGGGTTGTATATTCAGAGCAAAGGCGGGAGAAACGTTCCTGCATGGCGGTAAGTTTTAGAGTTAGAGACG